TCTCCCTTACCGTGTGGCCATTTGTGCGCATCGATGCACCAGCTCCAGACTTCTGTGTACATTCATAGAGCACGCGTACGCTCGCTCTCAGTCAGAGCTGTCCATCTCCGAACGAGCTCGTCAAGCCCTTAGTGAGAGTTATTTTTTTCACTCCACTCGACGAAGCCAGATTCCCGTTCCGACCGTCCGCGTCCCTGCCAGGTTCCGGAGAAGAGAACGTGTGAATACTTTCGCTCGTTTGCGAGGAAATCAAATAAAGTATGGGTGCATCGCAGGGGACTCGCGACGGAGTTGCAAGCGACGGAGTTGCTTCTTCGTTCCGTCGCACGTTGCTCCAGAGACTTTGACTTTTATCCCCGAGCCTCCTCCGCGACAGAAAATATTGAACATTCGAACGATATGAGGCAGTCAGACTGGATGAAACGCAAGACGGATGAGAATCCAACTCCCCAAGTACACAGGATTTCCGCGCGGGAAACGATTGGAAGCGGAACTGTGCTTCTCACTTGATAGTCCCGTAATATCTCCCCGATTTGGAGCGCGCTATTGGGCGGGCGAGACAGAAAAAGATGGTTCCTCGAGTGGGAATCCTGGAAGCAAACTCGCTTTTGTCTTCCTTTTCACTATGGATGCGCGCCAAAGGCTTCTTCTATCTCGGAGGAATTCATGAAGCAAGTTCGCCGCCACGTCAAAGGCACTCGTCGAGGTGAGAGAAGCTTGAATCGGGAGAAAAGCTAAAAGGAGTCATACACGCCGCGGAGAAACTACCTCCCAATCGAGATGAATAGCTCGGAAAGACCGCTGGAGAGAACGGCTGGGAGGGATCTTCCAAGTCAGCGATCTGCCGAGGCGGATAGTCGAGAGATTTAACTTTACGAACGCTGCTGGGCGCTGAGCTCGAACGCACGATGCCGGCATCGAAGCCGTTTATATATCTGCGACTCTGGCCGAGTATCGGGCCTGCTTCGAGCTCCCTATTCCTTTTCGAGTTCGGCGGGACAACAGCTCGGTTTCGAAAGGTCGACTGAGTGACTGACTTGCTCCTCCCCTTGACCGCTGATCAGAATAAATCCCTCCACGAATGTGAAGTACTCGGATAATTCCCCGCTGGACGACCGCACCTTATTTTCGAAGTATCGATAAGGAGCGAGTACTCTGGAGAATTCAAAAATTTAATTCCTTCCGTGAAGTCCGCCACGGCAGGGCTGCGAGCAATTTTCTCCCCCTATGACAGAACAGATGCCAGCCTCGGACAAAGATAAGCGGCCGACCCATGCCGACTGCTGAGCCGGAAGGGATTCCTTGAGCAATTTCACCGATCACTTTTTCGGATTCACTCCTCCCCTGTGCTTCGACGATTCGGAGCTGTAGTATCTCACGGGGGCTCATCGATTCCCAACAGAGCGGAAGCGAGTGCCGATGAACGTTCGCGGAGAAAGCGCGCTTATCCTGAAACTTGGAAGTTGCAGCTCGTTGAATCCGAAAGTTCGCTTCCTCGCGAATACGCTTCCTCCGAAACTTTTGTTTCTGTCCGCAACTATTAGTCTGGCTGCGCTCTCCAGATCCCAGGTAGGGGACTCGGATATCGCCATACTCCAGCACTCGATAAAATGCAGCTGAGTAGCATTCCCGGACTCATTTGCGAAAATTATTCTCTGCTCCGGTGAGAGGCTGAAGTGTGATGTTTCTTCATTGTTCCTAAACCGATTCGTCGTGTCCGCTCGCCGCGGTCACTTCAAACGTGCAACTCGTGCAGACTGCTCGTCGAGTTGCTTTTTTTCTAGTCGGGCTCGGGGAACGCTCGACACACTCGTACGGACGGTCATAAGCCGATTAGAGATAAGGATTACCGTCGGAGGGCCGACGTTCGAGGACACGGGGTGGGGGGCGCCGTCGGTGTTCGACTGGCGACGTCGCCGTAGGAGCAATAAAAATGATGGACGTGGCGCGCTGCAGCTTGCGCAGACGTTTGTTTTCATTAAATTTCCCTCGGTCATCGTTCCTCGTCTCCTTCTCCCGCTCTCCCGACGGCTGCTCCTCCGACGCTGCTCCCGGCATGATTCCCGCGCGAGGCATTCACTCAGAGACCTGAGCGATAGGAGTTCTCCGGCTCTCTACCGGCTGTATGAAGATAATATCCAGAGCGAGAGAGACGCTCGCGCTCAACACTACATCGTCCATCCGAAGGAGAAATCCTCCGAGATTATAGCTCTCATTTTCGCTCTGTTTCCGTGGATCTATTCTATTGTGACGGAATGCAGAAGCTTCGAGTTTGTCGAGTGTTAGGATCGAGCACGATACCTCACATTCCGGAGAAGTTCTAGAACAGACAACTACGTCGGAGCGCCAGGGCTCGACTGTTCCAGGCGAGGCTCGTGCATTTAGAATCGGCAGAACGGAGCTGCGCTTCCTGAAGGATTTCTCTCGCTGAGAGAGCTCACTCTAGTCGGCATCCTCGGCAGATGCGGGTAGCCGCGAAGCTTACCGACGAAGTCGTCGCAATGAGAGATCTATCCACTCCAGACTCTGAGCCGATATCCTCGGAGAGTGGCGTGTGCCCCGCAAGCTTGACAAATTAGAATTTCGGTAGATCAGCAGGTCGTAGTGACTTTTTACGTTCTTCTCGTCCTGCTTCTGTTTTCCCGCGAGAGGGGCGTTCCTCCAAGAGGAATGTTGTTCGTTTCGTGTGAAGGTTGGGAAATAATGCGTCTCCGACATTCGTGTGACAGAAATACATATTTTGCCGCGGATGGCGACTGTGCCTTCTGGCGGAAGCGAGGCGGATGGAGGCAATAAAAAGGTGGGAAGAGTCGAGAGGAGGGGAAGGCTGGCGAGAGACGTCGTTTGATTGCGTCGTAAAAAGAAATTTCGAATACATAGGCTGAAATTCGTTCGGGAACTGAAAAGCAGCGAGTGACTCCCTACAGAGATCATGGTCGACTCTGTTCGTTTTATTGATTTATATTCATCCCTCACACTTTGTTGGCAAACAGATTATTGAAATCGAATTGGCTGTCGGTATCAAGATTCTATACACATGCCCCGAATATTACAGTTTATTTAAATCACTCTCCTCTCAATATATATATATATAGATTTCTTCTCCATGTATATATATATCATTTGAAAATTAATAGATAGACGAGGAATATTCAATGGCGTCGTACTCCACCTAGACTCGTAGAGAACATTCCAGGACCACAAAGGGTTGTTCATTCACTCCATTTCTCCAGTCGTTCACATGAAACTCACATTCACTTTGTTCACTATCTTACACCTTCGAGCTATACTTTCAAAATTTTCACCCGACGATAACTGTCGGAGCTAATGAGGCTGCAGAGCAGTTTCGGTGACGCAGCACATCGAGGTCGGCTCAACAATCACGATATCCGGTCCGAGTCGGGGGAACATGGTTCCTATGGCTTTCCAAGAATCACCGAATTGAAATCGACTCGTGAGCCGAGCCGATGAGCACATCAAGCTTCGGTAGATCCTCGATGGAATATCCGAAACGTTCCCCCTCCAGAGCTGAGTACAAAATATAGTTCTTCCTAATTGCATTCCTTCCAAGACTCCTACGGAGTCCCGACACTCTCCACTGTCCCTTTCCATCTCGATCCGATAATTGTCATCATTTGATGCCCCCAATAATTCTGAAGTCCGGGTTCGTCGATGGGAGTACATCGACCCTCCTCGGAAGGATCCCCAGACAGCCAACATGGATCCTTCAGGATATATCCGTAAACAACAACAGTGGGAGACGTAGTGGGTCCCGTTCACTCTTTTTTCCATCTTGTTCTCCAATATTCATCGCTCTTCGAGTTCAGATCTGTCATGGTCAGTTTCTCCCCGATAATAATAATTACTCAATCTCGGCAACACGAACGATTTCCCCGAGCGGGGAATGAGTTTCCCTGTGTCGTTCGGTTCCCGCCAGTCTCTCTCGGGCCGGACCGGGATGGTCACATCAGCGGCTCTCTTTCCTCGCTGTAGAACGAATCTCAGTATTGACTCTGAACTTGAAACTAAGCAAAACTCGCAATCGATGGAGGGGCCCCGAGTCGTTCAATGTGTGATCATAGCGATAAGTCCTCCTAGGCTCCCGCTGCACCTAAACGAGGGCCACCTCAAACGAACCATTAGACAGCTGCCCTGACAGGTCGCCGGATTTTCGCTGATCCTGCAGCCGCTGGCATAGCTTATGGCGGTGCCGCCACCGTCGCGGCTCAGCTGTCGTGGATCATCGAAGATGATCACTGATCACCTTGCTAAGCTAAGCTGCTCATCTTGCCCAGTGCTGCCACACTGGGCAGCGCTGGGTTATTCATTCTTCTGCACACCCCCGTCGTCGTAGTCTCGCTTTATTTATCTCACATTGTCTACTGTTGTCCCTTCGCTAGCGTATGGTCTTTGGTATTTGATTGTGCGCTCAAAAAAGTTTGGTTAGTAGAACGAACACAAAGCCGGACAGGGCAGGCGATGTGGTAAGCTCCTCCGAACTAGATAGAGAATGACTCTTCCATCTGAAAACAATGCTTCTAAAAGTAGGTCATGATAAAATGCTGCTGCTGCGGCTTACACCGTCGGTTTCAGGTTATCTTGCGCGTCTGCAATTCATGCTTGCTCATACTTTGTATCTCCGTTTATCGTTCCGATTGCTTACGGTGGGCATTACCCCCCCCCCCTCCCCCCCGCTGTGTTCAGTCTGCAGCGCTCGCCCGTTCAGAAGAGGAGACGGAGGGAAGCGTTTTGAAAAAAAGAGCGAATTCCGTCTAGCGAGCTAGGCGTTGGCTTCTTTTTCGTCTGTTTTCAATTTGCCAGACGTACACTATCCGAGGCTCTACTCAGGGCTCCTAGTGTTTTTGCAGCTGCTTCCGTTTTCTCTGGTGTAAGTGCTCCACCTGCTCGGCGGGAATAATCTTTATCACTGTTGTATGTATGTACAATTGTATTCCTGGCGGTCGCGGAAGCGAAGAAGGAAAGCCTCAATAAAGATTCTTTCACAGGAGAACTTCACGATTTGCCTCGAGTTGTTCTATGAATTGGTTCATGTCGATGCGATGATCCGCGGGCTGTTGTTGTTGCTGCTGCTCTAGCTGTTGGACCTGTTGTAGATGTTTCTGCTGCAGCTGTTGTACTTGTTGCTGGTGATGCTGGTGCAGTTGTTGCACTTGCTGCTGATGCAGCTGTAGTGATTGTTGTGAGAGCGACAGCTGCTGTTGCTGCATCTGTTGAGCTGATGGCAGCTGCGGTTGTTGTTGTTCTTGATGGTGCAGCTGTTGTTGTTGCTGCTGTTGCGCCTCGCTCGGCCGCCGGCTAGAAGACGGAAGGGCTTTGAGCTCAACATTCTCGATGTCAACGTTCACTTGACCGTGAAGTTCCTGTCAAATGGACATTCTTTCACGAGGTTTGCCTATTGACGAATAGAAATCAGAAAACGGGGTAACTTCATCGGCATACTGTCGCTCGTCGAATTCGTCGTATCTTCGATGATTTGACGATGTCTGGCACGCGTGCTGACACGTAGACGGCGGTCCGAGCTGCTGATACTGAGGTTGGTGGAAGTAGGCGTACGTTTGTTGCTGTGCGGCGAGCTGGTATTGGTACTGTTGTTGAAGGTGCTGAAATTGTTGTTGTTGACAAAGGTGTTGGTCCTCGAATTGGAGTTGCGGCTGTTGCTCTTGGAGCCGTTGCTGCTGATGGTGTAGCAGCTGTTGGTGGTGGTGATGATGATGGTGCGCCTGCTGCCGCGGCTGCTGCTTCGCTTGATGCCGCTGCTCATCGAACGGCACCGTATAAGGCATTATGGCATCGTCGGATAGGTCGAGCACGGTCTCGGGGACAGGGGATGCGGGTTCATCGCTGAGTTCTAGCGTGGATGGGAGAGCATGCGCTAAATCTTTACTGGACTCCGACATGTGCTTCTGAAGCCCGCTGGGACCCGCAAGAGCGGCGTTTTCTACTTGACACGACTTCAGCAATTTAGCTAACTGAAGAGGTGAATATTTTGCAGATAGTCGCCTAGCCACAGCGAGTGATGAACGTCGGGAACTGGAAGGTCCGATAAAAATCTGTGAGAGATTCTCCCCGGCGGGGAAAAACCAGTGGCCTCACAAGTCACCCTGCAGCCCTGATTTGAATTTCTAGAGAAGCGGCTCACCTCGCGGCTGCGTGGGCAGCTGCCTGCAGAGTTTTTCTGTAATTTTCCTTATTGTTCTTGTTTTTCTTAGAATAACAGGTGCACGAACAAACGGAGGCATCGTCTCCGTTTGAACCGGCGGCGCTTGTTGCGGGTATTGCTCCGAGATTGCCTAGATTCGTTCGATAGTTGCCTGTCCCGGTGTGTCCTGCAATTTATTGCACGGCTAAATCATTCTAAGAATTTGTCCTGCTTCGTTGCAACCGCGCTCGACAGGTGGTTTTGAAGAGCCGCTACCACCATAGAGGTCTCGCTGTCGAGAGCTCGGCACACGATCGCCGCAGGCGAGAGGAGCGTCTCGATCGACATCGAGAGCGGACTGAGCGAGAAGTGCCTTGCCGAGACCCAGGGATCCCTGGAGTGCGCGTCGTCGGTTTTGACAGGTTCGGCTGGCGCATTCTGAGAACTCACCGGAAATTATCGATCCGTTTGCCGTTATGACATCACCCTCGAGACGCACGGCTTCGAGAGCAGCATTGATTGCTTCGGCTTCATCTCTCCGTTCATCTTCGGTATTCATCGTCAGAAATCGGAGGACGAGTAAATTCATGGCAGCAGAGACCACCGAGAGACCGAACAGGATAAATACCAAGGAAAACGCAACATATTCGGGTCGCTGATGAGCGTGATCTTTGGACTGGAGCGCGACATAATCCCCAAAACCTGCAAGCCGAATTTCAATTCACTGATCGAACTTCGGAATCTTTGGGCTCCGCGCCGTTCCGCGATCGGTGCACCTCGAAGCTTGAGGATTTTGAACCTCGAGGGTACGGATGTCGGAGCTGATTTCTCTGCGGATATTTCCCGCCCATTTTGGGCCTCGAAGGAAGTCGATCGTTCGATTCATTTAGGCCGTAGGGCATTTTGTTCCTGACTAAAATTTTCCTTTTTCCTTTCGTAAGTCACCGTCCGATGGCAAAGCACGATCATCGGATTCGATAACGAGTTAAACTCACTCCTTCCTCTATTTATTCGAACGTGACAAATCAAGAATCAAAGAAAGCACTCACCTATTGTTGTTAAAGTTATGAAACAGTAGTAGAAGGAGTCGAAATAATCCCAACCTTCGTACGCTGAAAAAGCAGCGGCTCCGGTCGTCATCACAACAGTGCTCAAAATTGAAACGAAACAGACAAGATTCGTTTCGGAGACCTCCGTATTGCGCAATCTGTAAGTAGGGAGGGCTCGTGAAGCATTGCGATCTAGGGGAACATACTGACTGAGTGAGATGAAAGCGAGAGGGATTTTGAGCGGGCACGGCACTCGTCGAGTTTTGCCTCGACGCCGCGCTTCTTCAAAGAGGATTTCAGCGTTCGGACAGCGACTATGTCGCTCTCCTGATGAATTATTTACCTGAAACATCTCTTCGCGTGCTTCAGCAAATACCCTACAAAGGTGTTGAGTCGTTCACCGATGCTTTGGAACATGACGAGACCCAGGGGGATCCCGACTAGGGCATAGAACATGCAGAACGTCTTCCCGCCCCACGTTGCCGGTGTCGAGTGACCGTACCCTGTCGAAACGCGGAACCTTAATGAGACTTGCCGGGAGCCCCAGAAACTCTTGCGACGACGCTCGGAGCAGTCGTTCAGGAGCTTGAATTCCGGACAAGGAGCTTGAAAAATATTTCGCTAAGACTCCCCCCTTCCCCGCATGGCGAAACGGGAGCGACGTTCCCGGGGAAAGGGATCGCACGCCGTCCCAGCGGGCTCCGAGTGTGGGAAGGGACTCACCTATCGTTGTAAGTACGGTCGTGGCGAAATAAAAGGCTCCGGTGAATTTCCATTGTCGCACCGCACGGTTTGCGGTTTTCACCATGACAGTTTGCCATATTTTTGCGTCTACTTCGGAAATGTTGTATTTTCCTATGAGCATCTGTCGAGGAGACGGGCGTTCAGACAAAAGGAACAGGGGGTCTCGTCCGTAAGCGAAGTGAGAGAGAAACACATTTTGGTGGGAGCTCACCTTTTCGATATATTGGAGTGTGCTCCGCCGTCGCCCCTCATAATCGCTCTCCAGGGCGTCGAAAATCGCCGCCCCCACCAGAAGGTAAGTTAAAGTACAGACAATCAGCGACAATGTTCGTATGTTCTGGCGTTTCATCATTGTAGAGATTAAGTCATCCGCCGGACCTCAGGTGTTTCGCTTATATCGAAATGTCGTCGGCTGTGCGCTAGATGTTCCACGGGGACAACAGCTCCATAGCTGCATCGACGGACGATGTTGGACGGCAAGGCGACACTCGACCACGACCGCGAGCTGTGACGCCCACGTACGTAGAGTACAAAAAGCAGATATCTAGTGAGTTTCGAGCGAGCGGCGGCAGCAGCAACTTCTTCCTCTTGCAGCAGTCCGCATGTTCTGACATGTGACCGGATCTCGTAAGAGCCGAACGCGACTTTGCTCTTTGTATCCAAAACTTTGAACAGTGGAATTTTGGCCGCCTGGACGAAATTCTCCTAGGTGGTTCAGCCCCAGACGACGCGATGAGCGGCCGGAGCGATTTGTTGTCGATAGCTGAGTTCTTTCCTTTCGAGAGACATGGATCGTACGAGCTCCTCTCCGGAGCTTGGAGCTTGCTGCCTCAGCAACTCAATGAGCATCGAAGCGCAGTGAGGGTCGGATAGGTTGAGACAGAGATGAGATTAAACGATTAGAGACGATGATGGACTTTTGCTCCGAACCGTGGAGAGTTCTCGTCAGGTCCAAACATAGGCAGTCGGCGAGTTCGACAATTTCTCGGACAACTTCTCAACGGGTTTAATAAGCGCCGTGAGCTTCCGTTCGGCTCGAGGTGGGTTCAAGTGGACATTCCGAGAGCACTCGAGGATTTGAAGCCTACGAGAGAATACAGCCGAGGTGACAACAACAACGACGACGACGGCGCGTACGTTGCCGTTGATGAGGACGGTGATGATGATGTGGGGGATGAGCTGTCGCCTCCGTGTTCAGCCTACTAAAGGTGATGATTCGCGAGCGAGCGAGCGAGTTCAGTTCCGACGGACGAGGTCTCAGCGCACTAACTCGTAACGTTAACTCCGGCCGCCACGCTATTCTCTCGCTAGCGAGCCACGTTCACGCATCGACGAAGCGATTGCTCCAATTTCCTGCTAAAAGGTCTTAGGGCTCTCCTACGTTCTCCGGCAGCCGATCCGACGGCAGCTACTGTTGCTGCCGTTGTTCGATTGCTCGAAGGCCGCGGGACAAGGCGTTCGCCGCTCGACTGGCTCGGAGACTGTTCCAGCGACTGTCCTCGTAGACTGCAAGCTGTAAAAAGCTCGATACCTGGGTAGACGAAGCAAAAGGAGAGCTACTATTTTCTACCCGTCGCCAAAAGCCGCTTTCGATGCCCTACGAGTTGCCGGATATAGAATTCGATTTTGAATCCTCGCGGGGAAGGCGAAGCTCCTGAACGAATGCAAGGCGAACGAAGAATGCGGCGCGTTCTTCAGAGCTCCTCGTGGAAGCGATGATCCGCCGGAGGCCGGAAGTTGCACTGCACCTGGAATACAAGAGGGAGGTCCAAGTTAGTCTCACCCACTAGGCCAGGGCGTTCGAGAACCGAGCGTCCAGAGGCTCCGTCAGCTATCGCTCTCGACATTCATACAGGGTGTATCGACATAGTGTATTTCGTAGCGGTTCTCGCCGCCAACGGGTGTCCATTTTGCGTTTCTGCGTTTCAGATGGATTCGGGAAATGCCAGCCAGCGGCTGCTCCGAGGGACCGAGAGAGACGGAATTCGGGTCAGTGACAAAAACTCTCCCGGTGCAAGGCGGCGGAAAGCTAACGAATGCCGAATCCTGCTGAATAGAACACTCTGAACTCCAGGAACTGAGTTTGTTGGAGCCAGCCGAGAGCGTAGGCAAGGAGTCGGAGCCTTGCACGTACATATACCCCCCACCGGGACAGCATTGAGACAATTCGGGCCATTGGTCCTCACGTCGCAGATGTGATCCCGCCGCCCGATTGCATTTGTGAGTTCCAATGCGCTCAGAGGGCCGAGTTGTCAAATTAATATCTTTGAGTAATGGATTCAGTCGGGCCACCGTGTTCTCGTTCCGGGGTATTTGTTCGAACAAGTAGCCAATCAATCCCGGGGAACGAGATTTCGTGCGAAGCGTGCATTCCGAAATTTGCACAAGGGATATCGCGATGCTCTCGATCTTATCAGTACGCAACAGTGCCGTCATTGGAGTCACCGAAGGTAATGCGACCCCCCTCCCACCTTGATGAATTCATATTGAGCTTTGCTAGTCGTTCGAATATTGGAGTTCCCGAGACCGGTGGGTCCCATCCTACGCAAAGAGTGGGATGGCAGTTCAAGGAGGTTCGACGGTTCGAAGCGACAGGAACTCGGCGGAGCCGAGAAGTCGAATCGCGCGAATGGGACTCGGCTCCTGAATTATGGCTTGAGAAGTCAGTGCGAAGGATCGCCGAGAGTCGAGAGCGACTCGGAAGTCCGGGCGAATAGGGTAGTTGAGAGGCCGTAAGGGCTCCGGGAGTAGCGCTCCGTCGGATGATAGCTCCACATTCACAGGTTACGTGCGACCTTTTGCACAGAAGGAAAAACGTGTTTCTCCCGAATGATGTTAATGTTTCCACCCCGGCGAAGGGTCCCAGACCCCCTCCCCCTTTTTCCAAACTCAAAGCTCTCTCGTGCTTTTCAGCTACGCACCGCGAACATTGTACTCTTCTTTTGTCTGAGATGCGAGTCTTTTGTCCAGCGCTGGCAGAGCTTCCTATTTTGCTTTCCGAACGGATCCGACCATGTGAGAAAGCGATATCAACATCGCAAACGAGAAAACCCGGACATGCAAAGCGGCGGGGGAGAGAACCGTGTTCTCCCCGGAAACGGCGCCAATTTCCATCAAACTCGGCCTAAAAAACGGATTAAACTGTAGGAGTGCACAATGCAAATCACTGACTGTGGAAGACCTGAGCGCTCCCGGGCCTGAGTCCGCACATGTAGGAGCAGCGTGAGGCTCCAGGATGAACGCGGGAAATAAAAATGATTGAACTCACTTCATTCGCTCTGGGCGAAAAAGAAATCCTCCAGCATCTATGGTGACATCCCTGACTTTCCAGTTCCCTCGCAACGGGGATGAACGGGGAAATTCCCGCTGTTGGATTCGAGAGCCAAAATTGCCGGGGCTTGTGGGTTGCCAGCTGAGAGTTGAGGGCGGATGGAGAACAGAGTAAGAATGGCGATCGTTGAACGGCGAACATGGGTTTCGCTTCTTTGCCTTGCGCACCTGTTCCCCGTCCGGTTCCAGACTTTCGTGACCGGCTTCCATCAACTTCAGACCGGCAACTCTTCTTACTTCCCTCGGCGTGAATAGCGGTGCGGATAATAGAGTCAATCGATTGAATTCAATGGAGAGTTCCGACTCGGTGATCGATTCGGTTTCCTTTGCGCGAAACACCTCCGTTCACGTTTCGAGTAGAAGTTCCCAGCTCAACTTCAATATTCTCATATAAACAGTTCCAGATCAGTGGACAGCGAGCGAATCCCCACGATTCGACGGCAGAGCGGTTGCCGGGCACTTTGGAAGGTTCAGCTCGACAAAATCAAGACCTGCCGAGGTCCCGCTGAAGACGATTCACATCAGCAGAAATTTCGCATTGCGAGTCGCTCCTTACGCCGCACCAGCGCCGCAAGGAAAAACCATCTGTTCTTGACTCTGCGACCGGCGCGCGGTCTCGATCGAGAAATCCCACGAAACGTTGTGGTAGCAGCCATCCGAGTTAGCCGGCGGCTCTCAATTTGTTCCGTTGTTTGTCCTGAAAATATTATGCCAGTCAGCCCGGCAGTCAAGCGGCCTGGGCGAGCCAGGGTCAAGAGCCTCCTTTTCTCGACGCTTTCGCCCCGGCTAAATCATGGAACTACGTAAGACCCACACATCGTATTATGAGCCGAATAGGGAAGGCAAATAATTCAGTCGGCAACTCTCTTCTAATTGGTTCCGCTTCTAGTCGTCGTGTGTCCACCTCGAGACGGCTGTGGGGCCGGTCGCAGGCAGCAGAGAAAGCGGCGCGGAAAATGCTGATTCCGCCTCCTCCGTACATGGGACTCGGTCTTATGGATCTTGTTTTCGTTGCGGGATGCCGCTCGCCGGTCCGAGCTCGCGGAGGCGAAACATACGACTTCCTCTACGACCATTCGCGGTCTATGATTACGACGACGGCTTCCAGGACCAGGAATGACTAGTACCGTCAGGCAGGGACTTCGTCGAGAGAATCCTGGGATCCCCCATGAAGCAATCGCACTCGGAAATCGGATCAGATGGGGGAGACGGAGCTTAAGAACAATACAGCCGACGGGAATTCGCGAGGGAAATACCGGAATCGAAAATCTCACGATGACTCGTCTTTGCTCCGTGGCTCAATTAGAGGATTCTCGTACCCGACTTTTCACGGCTGGAGCCGTTCGATTCCCTTGTTCCACGAGGCGTCAGTGACGGGGCGGATCCCGTCGTATCGACTCGCGGAATCGGAGCCGACAGTTCCTCGAACGACGGTCCCGTAGCTGTCTGAGGAATCGGCAAGGACTCCGTCGGAAGAGTCGCTAGTGGAGGAAATGAGGAACATTTCGTAATCGTATACGTTTTTCCTCTGGAGACATCATCGCAAAAACTCGTCCCCACAAGTCCCAACAAATGAGCTCCAAGGCCGTCTCCAACATGTAAGTTTCTCTCCTCTTTTCCCACGATTCCGTCTCTCGCTGTCTCTCCCCGTCCCTCCTCTCCATGCACTTCCTCGTCGTCGCCGTCATGATTGTGAAGAGATTCGACTACCCATCTAGTAGTCGATAGCATTAGGGAGGAAGAATGGACCCCGAACTCAATGAGTTCCAAGTGGAGCCCATGCCTAAATTATTGTAGTAGGACCGATCGTCGACGTCTTCGTCGAATGAGACTAGCACTCGGGAAATAGGGCCGAGTCGATTCAAAATCATTATCCGGCGAGGTGAGCGGGAATCCTATTGGACACCGGTGATTCGGCATCTCCCATCGGCACGAGTTTGTTCTCCTGTCTCTTCGCTCGCTAGGAATCTGATTCCGCTAAAAAGATCAAGAAGCACTAACGCCTGGCTTGGCAGTTCGCTC